CACGTTTGGTATTTGTCAGCAGTAGGAAATCTTCCTTTCAGGAGAGACCTGTTTGACTGTCCAAGGTGGATTTTGGTGGGTTTTCCCACTTGTAAGAAATAAGAAGTCCTTTTCTAAGACTGTGAACTACTCTGCTGCAAAAAACCCGTTGTTAGGGTCTTGTGTTTTTTGAATGAACAAATGTGTTGCAGTACATGTGTTCTAAACACGTGCTTGTATATGTACTACAGAGAGAACTAAGATTTAAATTTTCAGTCTTTTGAGAAGTCTATAATACACACAAATGTGCTTCATTTAGCATTTCAGATTTCACCTGAGTTTCTAGGAGAAAAGACTTTTGTACAATTTACAGTCTCTTGGCTTTTAAATTTATACAATCAGGAATAGTTTTAAATAATTCTTACACAATCCACAGTTCGGGGAATTATTTATGTGAGTTTGAACAGATTAGTGCCTAAGCAAATAGGGCCTTATGTGAAGTTGTTTTTGTTGTTAGCCAATGTAGCCAGCTGGCTTGCAATAGCCAGCAGTCTTCTCCATCAGCTGTAGGATTTCTTGACAGATTTTGGGGGTGCATTTACCTTGCTTGTTTAATTTAACGTGTTTGACAGCACTCAAGCATAGGTTGTTCGAGTGTTTCATTGTGACACTTTTCTACAATTTGTGTAAGCATGCCTTGCAATAGAATAATAAAAACACATTTTAAAAGTAGGTTTGTACAAGTATTTGACAGAATTGCACAGTACAGAAACTTTCTTCTTGGTTAAATTTGACTTTCTTCTTGGTTAAATTTGACTGTTTGACTTTGGATAAACAAAAGCTAACTGTAGTTCTTTTTTTGTATTAAGAGTAATGAAATGTAGTCCCAGATCAGTCTATTGCTATCCTGACACCTGTAGCTACATGAGATGGTGGCCTTTGTAAACGAAAGACTAATTAAGTTTTTGGACTCTATTTAATCTGAAAATCTGCCCAACCTTCTAACCAGTGGTTAGGAATTGTCTTGTAATTTCTGATCTAAGTGAATTTTAATGGCTAATCCATACCTAGTTGTTGAACCAGTAATTTTCTTAAGATTGAATACTTGTCTTTCATTGTGTTTATTCCTGTTATATTGTCCGAGTGTAGTTATTTACCCATCAATTTTAACTGTCTTAATTGTATTATTTTCTTTTTATTTCCAAATGTCTTTCTTTCCTTGAGATAGCGTCCTTTGAAATGAATGTTGAATGTATCAATCAAATTGTCTCTGTGCTATTCATGCCTTACTGTTTTCCCTGGGAAATTTCCCTAACTAGAGTTGTGTTTGTGTCTTTCTCCCAGCCACATCCCGTGGATATATCTAATGTTCTGTAATCACTTGGTGTCCTTGGACATAGCTATCTCTTATGTGTGAGCTTCCAGTCTGTATGAAGCAGAAGTTTCTCAGAGTTACCAATATGCATGACTTTCCCAATTTCATGCTGTTGTACTTCATTCCATTTCTGTTACTTCAGTTCTTCACATGATCCAAATCTTCCTGTGTAAAAACAACATTCAGCTGAACTGACGATTTATGTTTATCAGCAATTTTTTAAAAAAATTTTGCCTTCTGTGCCTACTTCATTAATGAAAAGGGCGAGTATTCTTCAGTCAAGCTGAATCAGGAATCAAGGTCCTCAAATGCCATTTGAACTAGGCTACTAATCTCTGTTCTTGAAATTACTTGTCTGCCCTGTAGTGAATTCTTTACTGTTCTTATAATCCCTCTTTTCTTCATCCAAACGAGTAATTTTCTTTGTGGCACCATATCAGGTTTTTTCATAATCTTCCAGGAAAGCTGGTGTTGCACACTGACTTAGACTGACAGTTCAGTTTGCGTCTGGCATTCTGTTCATCTCTTAAGTCCTGTTCAAAACTGTACCTGTGATTGAAGTAATATGCTTACAGTTACCTGAGTTGCTTCTTGCCCCAGTTACACATCAGAGAACCATTTAGTAGGTTTCAGTTTTGTTGTATTTAAATACATTAACTTGGTGTTACATGTACTGCTGCAAGTGGTTTGAAATATCTTGTCTGTTGAAATGGGATTGTATGTTCTAATTCCTGTGAAGTCTAAGATTGACATTTTTTCATGTGTTCCCCTTACACAATGCTGTCTTTGTTGTTACATTCAGCACTATCATTCTTTATTGAAATTTGGAACAGCGCAGCTCACTTGGTTTGGGGATCATGCTGTTAAAAATATTACATAGCCACATCTAAAGAACAGTTACCACTGAACTGCATGCTTTCAGAGTTGTTTTGGGCCATATGACAGATCTTGCACACTTCAGCTTCATATATTTGGAGTCATACAGAACAAAGTGCTGGACTGCTGTGATAGTACTGTGAATTCACTGCTGAGTTCCAATTCAGAAAAAATCCCACAGTTTTAATAATAAAAGCATTTTCTTCAATGAACAATTACGAGGAAGGATAATAAAATACAGTTCAGAAAAATCAGGTGTTACCATTGATGAATAAATTACTTTTTAGTGGATTATAGTTGAATGCTTCTTTATGGCTACGGTAGAAAAGAGATTGAGAACTTCAACGGATTGCCTTCTGGATTTGAATCTCTTCAGCATCATTCTGTTGGCAGAGTAGCATTCCAAGTGTTAATTGGTGCTTTAATATATTTGAAGGGATTATTTAGTTGTGTCACTCTAAACTGTTATATCAGGCAGGTTTTGGAGAAATTCCAGCTATTGCTCTTTCAGTTTTGTACCTTAGCCAGTGCTGCTAGTCTTCCTCTTTAATAGGAGAAGGAATACAGGATATTTTCAAGGATGTTTTTTGTTTTAAAATGGGGAATTAGAATTTGTTCTCGTTGAACAAAAACATGGTTTTATATACAATATTATATATGTGTGTGTGTGTGTTTTTGTGTATGTGAAAAGGGAAATGTTACTGGAAGGAAGATTGAGGTACAAAATGCAGGTGGAGAGCATTATTTTTTTAATAGGCTTGGATATCATTTCTGGAAACCACCTTAGAACGTGTCACTGAAGAAAAATCACCATGAAATTGGAGTGAGTTGCATTAAAATTGTTTATTTCTTTCATTTTTTCTTGGTTTTTTTTGGTAACATGCTGTATGGTACAGGGACAAAATAAAATAAACTGGAGGGCAAGATCACTAAATTTTAAACACTCCTACTCTTGAAATGTGCAACAGTGCACATATATATTCCTTCTGAAACTGGACAAGAAAGAAATTATTTTTAAAAATACTTTAAACAGACTATTACTGAGATTTATTTGGTTTTGCTTGATAAAATACTGTAAGTAAAGCCTTTGTTGTTATTGCTGCATAAAGCTGTCGGCAGTTTTCAGCTTCCACATGGTTTATTGAGGATTGGAAGTTCATTGCCATTGAAACACAGAATAAAGCATTAATACTTAACGCACTTACGTTGCTGGCCTAATGTTTTATAGCTAGAAGGATGTTCCTTATTAACTGTCAGAACCGATGCTGTGTCCTGTGCATAGGGAACACTCAAGAGTGAATATTTTTGCTGTCCCATCGCTTTTCCCCTCTGCCTGCCCTGGAAGTTTACTTCGAAGCTCCTGGTGCTCCGGACGCTTGCACAGTGCGCCATTCCCAGTGCATCCCATCACAGCCTGGCGGTGCTCCTGGCCGGGGCCTCGGCTGCCGCGCTGCTCGGGGTGCCTGGCTCCGTCTTTGTGCCTGCATTAGGGAGAAGTCAGAGATGTGTGAAAAGTAGGCCAGGGGTCGGGGCGGTGCGCCGCGCCCGCCGAAATTGGAAGTGACGGACACCTCCCGGCTCAGCCGCTAATTTGCCTCCATGTTAAATGCCTCCGAAGACTCATTAAAGTGAAAAGTTCTTGGGTCTCGCCGACAGACAGATTGAGTTATTGATGCTGGAGGCGGCCACCAACAGTAATTGCTGCCCATCCCCGAGCAAACGCCCGCTCTGGCATTCATGAGCAGCGCCGGGCTGACAGGGGTCAGGGGGGTCAACCCCACCGAAACGAGGCCGAGGAGAGGCAAAATTAGGGCTCTGTTCAGCTTTGTGCAGCTTCGCTTTTGTTGCAAGGAAGTATTTAGGTGTTCAAGCTGCTTTTTAGTCCTTGGAGGCCCAATTACGCTCCCCTTGTGCACCACCATTGAAAAGTTGTGTAAGCAGAACATGACCACAACTACTGCAGCCTGAAAAAGTGACTTCTTGCTCAGTTTGGCTGCCGTAGCTGTGTGTTCACCCACTAGAATTATGTTTTATTTGTGGAGCAAACGACGTGTGCATATGGTAACGTAATCTTTCAGGAGGAATTAATTTGCACATCTTCGAATCCAGGATGTCATGATTTTGAATTGCAGTTAGTGCTGTCTTTTTTTGTTTTAAAGATGCAATACTCTTCTAGGAGAAAAAAGTTACAAGACAAGTATGTTAAGTAACCAAACTAACTGTTAAATTTAATACAAATTTAGTTTTCATCCAGCAGAGAGGCTGGGGTTTTTTTGCAATGGAGCTTCTCTACCAGCAGTTTTCAACAGGTGGCCTAACATGGTGTTGCTGTTTCCCCCTCGGTATTATGGGAAGTCACCACTTAAGTTTAATTTTTATGAAAAATAATTCAAAGAAGTTTTCATTTCTGTAAAGAAAATAGTTTTCAAACAGATATACGTGTTGAATCTATTGAATACTACCTCTAACTGCCATATGCAAGTCTCCAATTATACATCTGTGACCAGTGAGTTGATATATCTAATATTTTTTATAGGAATATAAAAATATCCCTGTGGGTTGTTACCAAAAGTTTATATTTCAGAAGTACCCTGCGATTCAGTTAGATAGGAAACATGGCTAATGTTTTCAGTTACTAATGTTAATAAACACATGGGAGTTTTTGGTTGAGTTTGTTGGTTATGCTCAGCACTGTGACCATCTTGAGAGTTTTTTCTTGTTTCACAAATACATGAAGTTTTTAAACATTTTGTTTTATCGTATTTTCCAGGAAACAAAGGTGGAAAAGCTACAGAAGCATCCTTGCAGTCAAGCACCAAATCCTGTATTAGGCTTCACCAAACAGACTGAGCTTAGCACTTGTCAAGCAGAAGGGCCGCTTGCCCTGCACAGGAAGGATTAAAAGTGAACAATGACTCGATTGAGAGTTCATGAGCAATTGCTTGGAGCCTATCTGCTTATCATTCTCCATGTTCAAGGTAAATATAAACCAGTTGAAATAAGGTAAATCTTTCTGATTTGTAAGAGAATTATGTGTTTTCCAGTGGTTGAAGCAAGATTTTTTTTTATTATTTTGGAGTTTCTTTTGCAAGCAGATGACTTTACTGGCCTGATATGCCATATGGATGCTTCCCTAAAAAGAAGGAAATTCTAGTGGTCATTCATTGTAGTATAGATTCGGTCTATTTTAGCAAATACTTAAATAGAAACAGTACCAAAAATGCCTAGTACACCAAGGAGCAAGTTGGATGAATAGCAGTAGTGAAGGTTTTTCTTTATGAATTTCAATTCCCTCTGTGTGAAAATTTGATCCCTTTAACTTGACCCACTGAAGAACTTGCAGTGTAGAGTTCCTCATGCCTTTTGATGCTCCCAGCAGCCTAGAGGTAGTGTGGCATAACTAATCTAAATTAACTTGTTGTGCCTATTTCATGGGCCAAGGTGAGGCTATGGAGTATTCACAGATACCCTTGTTTTCAGTTAGTGAAGATACTCATTTGTATGTCTGTTGTCTTTCCATACACCAGTTATAAAAATTTTCTGAACTTTATAAAAAAGTTATGAATTATCAAAAACATTAGAACTTTAACTCCTCTGTCAAATTGGGTTGAATTTAAAAAAACCATGCAGCAGTGCCCTGCATGTCCAGCAGCCATACATGTCCCTAGTTGGTCTGTGTGTAAGAGTATTCCAGCTCCTAGCTGTGCACTCCTCATGTGTTTAAGTACACAAGGCTTTCCAGATATTTTCAGAAAACAGAGAAAACTAATTTGGTACTGCCATTTAAATACTTGAATATAAAAGGGTTTATATTCTCATTCCATACTTGATCAATTACTGCTTAGTGCTTGATTTTGAGATACTGTGTGAGATACTTACTTTCAAGAAGTACAATTCAATGAACCCATTAAAATGGGGAGAGGAGGAAGCCTGGTAAATACCCAAATGCTGATCTTTTTGTTCTGTTTCTGGTGTGAATCTGCAATATTAAATTAAAGGATATAGCAGAGCTGTCTTTTCAAAGCCCATACTTGATACATCTGTTTGGACAGAAATAGCTTGGTTTGGCATGTAGTTGAAGTCTCTAGTACATTTACAAATATTTGCAGATAGCTAAGGTAAGGTACAATACAGTGCTTAGATTGATAATAGAAATAAACTAAAGGAAATTTAATTGAGAAGTTAGGTAATAAATTTTTACTGAATGTGGTTAAGTATTAGAACAGGCTGCCTGGGGATATTGTGCAGTATTCATCCTTAGAAATAGTCAAAACTTTACTGCAATGACTGAACAACCTGGTCTAATGTAGAAGTTGGTCCTGCTTTGACCAGGTGATGGTACCAGGTGACTTCCAGAGGTCTCTTCTGCTCTAAAATACCCAGGCATAGTGTTTTGCAGTAGAGCTTGTTCTATTTGTATTCAAGCAGTTTTTCTGTTTCTGGCAGAAGAGACCAGCTTCTTCCTTTGTTCCCTTGAAGAGGCTGGGAGTAATATGTTTGTTCTTTTTGCTGAAGTCATGGTTACCCCTTTGCATTAAACAATATTTAGCATTTTAATAATAGGCAATAGCAACTGAAGGATTTTTTTCCCTCTCTAGATTCAAATACAAATAATACAAATATACAAGTCTTCTAGTGGCTTAAAGTTAAATTGCATTAACTCCTTCCATGATCATGGTGATTAATAAAAGTTCAGTAAATAACTTCTAGTAAGTAATACAGATAAATTAAGTTTAAAGACTGAAAATTATTTTTAACTTCAAAAGAAGAAATTGCCTTATCTTAGACATTTTCCTGACTTTCAAATCAATACTGAGGCAGTTCTGAAAGCCATGGAAAATGGAACTTATTGAAATGTTGTTAGTTCTTTACAAGTTACCTAAGGGCTTTTCTTCAGAAGTATGAAATATGCTTGGTTTCCAGGGGTGGTGAGGACAAAAACAGTCAAGTCTCTCTGCTTTTCCCTAGATTCAGGGGGAAGGAAAGAATTAAGATCGTAGTCGTAAAGCATTTGAAATTTTTATAGGAAAGAGACAATCTAAAGTGAAAAGTTTAAACAGTTGAAAAAGTAGTTTCAACAAGGAAAATATATGCAGGATGTTAGAAAAATGCATCATAAAGCAATCGACAGAGGTGAACAAGATTCATTAGGAAGAATTGAAGAGAATTTGTGTGATTTACAGAAAGAGGAAGAAAAAGCAGAGAAAGTAGAATCCAGTGTGTGTACTTTCAGTGTCTGGCATCCAGCTTAATGGTTTGTTCTCTTGGGTTTTTTTGGAGGCTTCTTCAGAATGTTAGGAATTTCAGAGCTTACCAAGACCTGAGAGAATGATAAAAGCAAGTGTATCTGTATAGCTGCATGTATATATGCATTCCAGATTCCTTAACAGGTAACTTGAAAAAGCAAGTGGCTGCATGTGTTGATTACTGTGAAAATATTCTTACAGTAACAACAGAAACCAGAGGCAATTCCGTGACATTATTGGTGAATAGCTGCTGTTTCTAAGGTTGGTACTATGCAACAGGGGCACCCAGTGGTTACCCTTTTAGTTGTATCTTTGTAGCTTTGGGACTTCTTCACTTACTTGGAGAAATAGTCAGAAATAAGCCTGGGTTGCAGATGGTTGGATTTAATAGCAACCTCTTCAATTAAAACATTTTGTCTGTCCTCTTTTGCTGTGGAAGGCCTTTGCAGTAGCTTTAAATCTATGACTGGCTCTGCATCTTCATCCGCCTCCTTTTTCTGATTTAAGGTAAGAGGTTCTGGACTTGAGTCACACTTGTGACTGCACTAAACAGGCTTCATCTTCCCAGTAGTGCAGGGTTTTCATGCAGAAAACCAGTTTTTCTTCCAGGTGGAGTTCTTTCTTTGTTGTTGCAGTGCATTGATGAGCACATCTGATCAATATATGGAGCAGTAATAAAGTGCTTAACATCTACTTAAACATGTTCTCATGAATTCGGTGCTTCATTGCTGGAAGTCTACTTCCCATGTGTTTCAGCACACCTTTATGTATTCTTCAGAGACACCACAGAAGACTAGTATTTTAATCCTTGTAAATCCTAGTTGACTAAAAATGTATTAATACCACTTGATATGTATGAAGATATATTAAAAGTAAAATTTAAAAATAATTTGTGTTAATATTAAAATGGACTTAAAGTTGCCACGGTTGGTTAGTGAACTAAATAAAAGTTGATTTTTATTTCACTGCTCTAATTGCTTTTATTCAAATACTTGATATAGATAAGGTGTATATTAAGATATATTTTAAGCCTTTATGCACTTTCTCAATTTCGAGTGAAGTAGTTAAGTGAATTTGGATGTATAAACTAATCTGAAACAAAATTCTAAAAGCTATAGAAGGAACTTAGAGCTGTCAGTAGCTGATTCATTACTTGAAAACACTTGTTCTGTTTATTGCTGATTTCCCCAATTAATAGCTGCATCTGTCTTTAAAACATGAGCAGCAACTGTGTTCTTACGAATTTGTCTGATTAAAGTTCTTCCAAGGGATTATTAAAAGTTGATCTATTTCTTTATTAGAATTTTGCTTTTAGTTTTAAGTAACTTTATTGTTTAAAAGCCCTTTAAATTAGAATGCAGTATACTCTTTAAAGAAAAATACATGAAATTTTCAAATCTCTGGCTTTTATATAGAGTGCATAAGGACAGAGCAGTTTTCAGGAGTGACTTTTGAGTAAGTGGGAGCAGAGGCTGAGGGCTGCAGGTTGGGAAGCAGAGGAGACAGGGGCTGCCTGTCTGTATTGAACATTGCTGTAGTTCCTGGGAGAGCTGGAAGGGCAGGAGAGAGGTTTGAAACCAGTAGTCTGGGAACATGCTGTGATTTTTAGGAACCAGTTCTGCTAGATGGAGCTCCCTCTAACATGCCTGGTCTTTGGAGATCACAGCCTTGATATATAAAAAAGCACTATAGGGAGAATTATGGTTAGAATGCCAAACACAGAGTTTGTAGAAGCATTTAAGATACTTTTTTGCACTCATATAATTTTTCTGATTTTTATAAAAACTATTTTGTCTTTCAGGAGCAAGTGCTAGTACTGTATTCAAGCTGTGTCAGTTGTACTAAAGTTTAATTCACATAACAGAACATGTTAAATCATTATGAAAGTTTGTGATATGCAGAAAGGTGAAATGTGCTTATTGGAATGCAGGATTTTGCAGTATCTGCATCCTAAAGCAAGAAAAAGTAATTTAGAACTACCACATAAAAATGTCGAGGTATGCCTTTTTCATAAGGAGGGCATATCTAACATAAAGAGCACTGGTACAACTTTCATCTTTGATGAAAAGAGCCCCATGTACATCAGCACCAGCAGGGAGGCAGGTGAAGGGGCTCTTCTGACAAAGATTCTTCTTACTTAAATATTAAATTTCTTGGAATTTACAAGCATGGGTCAGAGTAGCTACAAAGAAATGCCTCTAGCACTGTGTTTCTGCTAGGATAAATCCCTTTAAAGGATAATGTAGTCTGGAACAAACATGTTTTTATGGGCAACATCTATATTATGAATTCAGAAAGCTGTCATCCAGTTGACTGCTGTAGGCCATATTGGACCTTAATTTGTGGAGAAAAAGAGGATACAATTAAGTTAAAAATTGTGGGCATCATTTGGCTTTTGCATTTGTCTTCTTTCACTTACTGCTGTCTCTGCATTTCATAGAGCTGTTTTTTTATGGGTCACACAAATCTTTTCTTAGATCAGAAGACTTAATGAAATTATATCTGTGTCCTGGCATTTAGTTGCAAGCAGGTTAACTCGGGTTTTAGCGATTAGTAACACTGCAGTGTCACGCACAGTACATTTTTAAGATTTATCCATGTTAACATTCATATTTGAAACTGCTTTCAAGTAGACTTAGATTTCTAACCTAGTGAGATTTTTAATATCCTGTGCTTCTTTGAAATACATTTTATAGTCTTAAGTTATTTTCTGTGATTGGAAGAAGTAGTGCTTTGAATAATTTATATTTTTGATCAAAAGCTGGATATGATATATTGTCAGGCATTCTTCTATTTTAACAATTTGTTTTATTATTAACTTCTGAAATTTTTGTTTATTTTATTAACATAAAGTTTAATTTTAAACAGAAAACCATTTAAGTGTTGTCTTGTTTGCAACAATTGTTCACACTTGTAGAAATCTGCAATGTATGCAGTGTATGATTGGGCAGAGCAGAAGACAAAATCAGAATTTGAAGTCTCATCTTTTCTCTCATCAGTGTCTTACACTGCAATGAAGTTAGGAGAATATTCCACCATTACTCTGGTATTTCGTTGAATGTTGTAACTTTGTAATGCAGTAAAATACACATTACAGAGCAGTTTGTGTGTTTAGAAGTCTATGATGCTGTCATTCTCAAGGCTGGATGGTCAGGCTAGAAGTGATCCAGGATCTTGAACAAGCCCTCCAGTGTGTGATAGCTCATTTGTTTCTCATGTATGTTATCTTGCCCGACCAGCTCTGTGCAGTTTGCAGGTGGAGGTTAGGAAATAGTGGAAAGGATGCTTTGCTGTGCCTGAAGTCACTGGGTGCTGTGTTTCAGTGCACAATACACTGCACTTACACCTTTGAAGGTTATGTGAGATTTGTGTAGGTACATTTCTTAGCTGTACTGCAGAGTGACACCTACAAGTGTCATGGAAGAGATTAATTACATCATCAAGTAGTGTAGTGTCACAAGATCCCCTAAAAAATGATCTTCCCTTTCCTTGTCCTGCTCCCAGGGGGAAGATGCAGCAGTGTGAATGTCGAGAGCTGGAGCTCTGAGGGTGGGTACATAAACCTTGGAGCAAGATGTTCTTTAGGCCTGTGCTTAGTTCTCTCTTGTTCATTTACTCAGGGTGTGTTAACCAGGGAAAACAGCAATAAAGCATCCTGTGAGTTCAGGGCCTTCATTTGCCCTCTTAACATCTAAGGTGGATGGAAGCCAAGCCTTTCCATCCCCAGACCTAGCAGCTTTAAGATGGACACTAATCTGTCTTGAAGTGCTGAGGATGAATTGCAGTACTGCAGTAAAGGATACAGTTAGGCATCCTAGGAGGAGGAAATTGAAAACTGTTTGGAGTAATCCTAAGCATCCTCAAAATTTTCCTGTTCTCTTCCCTGGGTACTCAAACTTCTGTCTAAGAAGAGTTCTGCTTACAGTCTTAGAAAGTAAAAATGCAAGAGTGAAGTGATTATTTTCCCCCATTCCTTGTACAGTTCAGGTATTACCTGAAGGCAGGCTACTATGAAGTTTCACATTACAAAAATAATGAAATTGTAATCTATTCTTGCTTTGAATAAAAATCTTTGCCTATAGAAACTGAACAAAAGACAAAGATGGCTGTTTCTTTTAGAATACAGTTTTCTGTTTGGGATTTTATATGGTATGTGCTTTTCATAAATCTTGTCATGCAATCTATCTTAATAAATGAGAGAAAATGTATTTCATGTCATTTTTTAAAAGTTTGGTATACCTGTAGTCAGGCTTCAGTGTTAGTTTACAGAGAATTATGCTTCTTTAAAAGATGCTAGACATGCACAAAAATGTTGGTCTTTCTGTTCTGAGCTAGGAGAAGCCATGCTTTAAGGATTCCTTGGATTCACCTCTAATAAACTGCATTCAGTGATCAGAGTAGGAAAATGGATGACTGAATGAAAGGCACTGATCATAAAGTACAATAAGGAGTTTTACCAAGTGCAGTGTCCCTGAAGATAAGAGAGGATTTCTGATATCAATTGTGAAAGATACCGTAGTCATTAAAAAAAATAAGACAGACAATATTTGTACATATGCAGTAGCTTTCCCTTTAAATATTAAGCAGAATTACCTGTTCTCTGAGCAGGTAAGGATCTCATAAGTCTGAATAGAAAATGTTGTGTAATGTCTCTAGCACAGTTCTAAAATTACCTTTCGGTTTATGCTGGGAAGAAATATGTAGAAAGAGTGGGAGGTAGATGGAAGAGCTGTTCCAATTGTGCAGGATTCCTCTTGGTTAAATCAGAAATACCTATAACCTACTGTTATTCTAGGATTGGATCTTGTTTCTTGTGAACTGTCTGTACAGATCAGGACTATTTAACTTGGGCATTACTGGAATACTCTATATATTACATAAAGCACTGCTCTGTGATGTCACTTTTAAGGTAGATGGTATAGTTCTCAGTATATTCTCTTAGTTGTATCCAGAAGAAGCACAGTTGCATTACTTTGCTGCATTGGACAGTGCACTAGGTGTGCTGTATTAACCAGATGAGGAAATCTGCAAGTCTGCTATTTTCAGTATAGTAGGGTCAAATTTCACAAGTATTTAATTGGCACTTGTCTGAATGACATAATGGATGTTACAGTAGAGTGATGCAGAGGGGGCTGTATTTGCACAAGGTGTTAATTAAGTTTTTCTGCATGTGTTTCAAGCAAGGTACAACAGGACACTAATATTCTCATCACTCTGCAGCTCACATTTGCTAGGTTTCACAGGAAGCCCAATAATCTGTTCCAAGAGACTGTGGGTTTCTTGGTTAGGTTTCTTTTCCTTAGAAAAACTGAGATTTTTATTATGACCTCCTTTTTTTTTTTACTAATTGAGTTTGTAAAAGCTTCTGCTGCTTCCTGACTGGCTACTGGTTTATCTTGCCATCACTCAGCCTCACACAGAACATTGCTGTAATCTGTAGCAGGGCAGGTGATTGTTCACAGCTCTTCTATCTGTATTTGGTTCATACCTTGAGGATTTAGAGCCAAGGTGGTGGACAGAAAGAGATTTCCTGTTTGTAAAATTGTGTATGATAAAGCTGAAGGAGATGGGTAAAGATGTTCTCATCTCATATAGTAATCATATAGCATATTCCAAATGAGGCAGATAATGTTCATAATTTTTGTTCTGGATGTTCTTCACTAAGAAAACAGAGGGATGTTTTCTTCTGAATACCTACATTGACAAAAGGACTTTAATAATATGAACAAGAACAAATGATGCTTCTCTCTGCTACTATTGAGAAACTGAGGGCTACTTGGAACATGATGTAGCCCTGTTTCTATTCTGTGAAAGCTCGTTTGGATGGATGTTTGTGCCATTTACTGAAATTTAATTTGCAAACAAGATTTACTTTAGCTGTGTTTTGAAGTACTAATGCATACAGAGATCAAAAAAGCCAAGGGATTTTGGAGTTATTACTGCTCTTCCATGAGACTGTGAATCTATAAAAAATTACTTCAGAAAATTAGAAAATTGCATATTAAGTATGTTCAGTCATGCATAAAATTATTATTGTTGTGGTTATCAAGCCGTCAGCATTTTGGCTTTCTAAACGCATGAATGAGAGAAGCTTTCTTCAGAAAATTCTAACCAGTTACACCACTGCTTTCCTGCCCTACCTTGAAAAGAGAAAATATCTGTCTGTTTATATTGATTATGGTTGGAAGATTGGCTGTTAAGGTACAAAATATGTCAACTAGGTATTTCTAGAATAGAATTATTAACTCAGATTTCTACCATAATCTTGGGAGAAGAGATTGCCTTGTATACTTCAATTATTAATATAAATATTGTTGTCATGGGGGTTTTTTGACTGTAAAACTCTTGAACAGTTGTCAAAGAGATGCAAACTTTTTTTTTGTTTTTTTGTGTCCAGGTCAAAAGCTAGACAGCATGCTTCATGGTACAGGAATGAAGACAAATTCTGACCAAAAGAAACAAGCAAATGGAGTAACACTTGCTCCAGAGGACACCTTGCCTTTTCTTAAATGCTACTGCTCAGGACATTGTCCAGATGATGCTATTAACAACACATGCATGTAAGTGTTGCATTCAGGATAGAGAGGATCTTGGAAGAATATCATTTTGGGTTTTGAGAGAGCAAACCCTCTTTGGAGGCTGACCAAGGTTCTCTCAGGTGATCTGACCATAACTGATTCTGTTCTATGAGTGCTAAAACCCATGGTCATCTCTGTTTTCACCACACCTTAAAACAATTTGCAACTGGTCATTTTAAGACCAGCAACTGCTTTGAAGGACAGAGGTTTTAAGTAACCCTGTGGTATTTTATAGCTGGGTGAGTATTAAGTGACCCAAATCTAAGCCTTCTGACATGACCACCTGTTTGCTTATTTCTTCACCTAGCAGTCAAAAAGGTAGTGTAATGTAAACAACATGGCCATTTACTGAGAGTTCTTCTTGTTACATGTTCAGTAGTTACAGACGTGGAGGAAAGGCAGGGAAAATAAAGAAAAGCTTGTGGACATGTAGAGACAGGAGGGAAGTTTTATCTTTGATAGGTATAAGAATCTTAAAAGACTCATGCACAGATTATGTGCTTGCTTAAGGTATTTTTTCTTTATATGTCCTAAAATGTCCTTGTTTTTCTTATTTCTCTCCATTTGCAATTCCATATTCAAGGCCCTTTTGTTTTCTTCCTTAAGAATTAATATACACAATTGAAAACATAATTACTTGCTCTTGTACTTTGAGTCTTCACTTTAACATAGATTTCAGTCTCTCTAAGGTGTCACTTGGCAGTTTTTGTGGAACCCAAGGAGGTAGAATAAACACTGCTGGTTTTTTTAAGGTAAACACAGGCAGTAACTTATAAACAGTGTTGAACTGAGAAAATGTTCCAGTATTTTGTCTCTCAAGCCTCTTGGTATTTACTTACTGGTTTTTATTGCCCTCTAGTGTATGCAGTCTGTATAGTCCTTACTAATTTTTGTCTGACCTAGCAACTGATAGGCCATTACGCTGATAATAAAGCTATTAGTTAAAAACACACTGTGTCTGTGTTCAGGGTACCTTATGGCATTATGCTTTCCACATCTGCATTTCTTTGAATTAATGTAAATAGATTTTTGGCAAACAAAATTATTTCTAAATTGGTTTTCCTTAGTATCTCTGTTTAGGGAATGAATGAATACTTGTGAGAAAGCATCCCTGTAGTGTTCTATTTGTGAATACTGTGTGGGTCTTTCATTCTCAAACTGGATGGTAACCACTGTATTAAAGAATTTTTTTAGAAGCTTTCATTCTAGAATTTTTAATGGGTTCATGGTCAACTAATGCTGAATATTAAATGACAGACATGCTGGTAAAGCACACATGTTTGTGTGTTTATTGTTTATTGCAGAACTAATGGGCATTGCTTTGCTATCATTGAAGAGGATGAACATGGAGAACCCACGCTTGCTTCTGGCTGCATGAAGTATGAAGGTTCAGACTTCCAGTGCAAGGTGAAAAAATTAGATTTATACCAGTGCCTTACTTTACTTCATTTTTATGCCCTTCCTTTTTTTTTATATGGCATTCTGAAGATGTTTCTAAAGCGAATACTGCTACTATGATGAGTATAAGAGAAAAACTTCTAAAGGGATTGGGTTTTTTGTCTTAATAGTGGTATTTAGTATGTGGCTAACCGGTTTTGACTAAGCTCAAGACTTTTCCCATGTATGAAATAGCAACTTAAGTAGAAACCATCTATCTCTGTGCAATAAATAAAAAACATTCCATGAAATATAAAAAAAATGCAAGATTAAATGTAGGCACTCAGAGATTGATGATGTCTGTGTGCCACTGCAGAGTGATCTCATACATTAAATGATGTGGTTGAAGTGCCTTGTAAATAAAATAGCTTACACTTTTGTCTGTGCTACGTTGTCCTGTCTCTGTTTTAGCTTCAAAATCTAAATGTTCATTGAATTCTCCTTCAACAGGACTCTCCTAAAGCTCAGTTACGTCGAACGATTGAGTGCTGTCGTACTGATTTCTGCAATCAGGACTTGCAACCAACATTACCACCCCTTGATAGTACAGGTACACACCTCCTGTATGTTCACACTGCTGAGAAATGCTCTGTAGGTTTTGTTCTTCCTGATCAACAATAGAATATGTAATTACAATATTGCACCCATCTTATTCTTCCCTTATTAAGTAATTTTTATATGAAGATCTGTACTACATTTTCTATTTTCAATTTTCCTTTTTTGCTCCTTTCAGGTTAATCTTTTCCTCAATCAGTCACTCATGGCATTTTTATTCTTGTTCTTATTGCATTGATATCTTGACTTGTGATCTTCTGATCTGTTTTTATTCTGTTTCCATAGTCTGATCTCTTTTTAAAATGTTTTTCTTAATCTCTGCTGTGCTTTTACCATTATGAATGTGATAAAAAAAGAACCTATTCAGACCTTGTTAGCACTTCTTTATTGCAAGTTCATTCTGTTTTTTCTGTTCTTCCCAGCGAAAATAGTTTGTTTTCAAGCACTTATTCATTGCTAGGCAAGTTGTACTGCTCTAACTGTTGCTTTGCATATGCTCAGAATCTTACGGCTCTAAGTCCTTAATTTCTATTTCTAACAAACTAGCAAGACTCAACCAACTCCAAAATTTCAAGCTGAATCTTTCTTTATTTCTTTCTTTTTTTTTGGTTTTTATTTTTTTTTGGTTTTTTGTTGTCATCGAAATGAATTTATCTTTGCTTTTGTGGTACAAATACTTACTCGATACACAGTATATGAAACCATACCTTAATAAACTGTTTACAATATATGTTTAATTAATAGACTTTGGAAACTCTCTTTTTTTTTTCTTTCTATTTTTTCTTTTTTTTATCAAATAGATGGACTTTTTGATGGCAGCATTCGTTGGATGGCAGTGTTGATTTCTATGGCAGTCTGCATAATTGTCATGGTCATCTTATTTAGCTGCTTTTGTTACAAGTAAGAAAGCAATTTCTTTATCGGCAACGTGTTTAATTTTGCAAATGAGTGTAAACAGAACAGTTATTTTGCAAATGGACTCAGTTAATCATATGTTGATTAGAAACAGTTGTAGCTTAATTTCACATTTCTGTGGGTAGCAGTTTCCATCACTAGGTAGAATGAAATGTACATGGCAGAGAATTTAAGTGAATTTCATCCTTTCCTCTCGCTACAAAGTATTTAGAGTTTTGTAAGCTGCAGGTGTGCTTTTTATGCTTTTGGGTCTTCAGTCACTTTCAATAGTTAAATTTCATCTGCTTCTGAGATTTTCTGCTGTGTTTCAATACCAAGTAATTGCCCAACTGAGTTATGGCAGTTCATTCAGGTGCTTCTGTCAGCCCCAGCCCTTGCTGCAGGTGATCACTGTTCTGGCAGTTTCCAAGCCTTGTTCCAGCCTCAGCTGCTGTGGTTCAATGTTCTGTCTGTTCATTTAACCCAAAATCATCAACGTTGTGCTGGTAACTCTGGCTGAGAGCAGAGAGTATTAAAAATGCTGGGTTTCCACCTGACTGATAATGAATCAGCTGACACACCTGTGTATGCATTACAACAGCTTCTTATATTAATATTAAAGAAATATTTTAAAATATTATTAAAAAATATAAAAAATATTTAAAAGTTATGTAAGTTACATTTCAAGAAAAGGAAAAAAGTACAGTACAATTGAAAAAGTACAAAAAAGTAAAGTACAGTAAAATCTGCTGCTCTGTTTTTTCTTTTGAGAAAACATGTATGTTTAAATAGCTCCTTTCCTAGATCAGCATGTTACATATTTTAAGTGTTTTGGAGTTCTTAACTTCTGTTACTTTTGCAGGCATTACTGTAAGTCGATGGCAAAGAGGCACTGTTATAATCGTGACCTGGAACAAGATGAAGCATTTATTCCAGCTGGGGAGTCACTAAAAGACCTTATTGACCAGTCTCAGAGTTCTGGGAGTGGATCAGGACTACCACTGTTGGTAAGTCAGAAACGGAAGATTTTTCTTCACTGACTTTCTCGCTATCACATACAAGGTTTGGTTTGGATCTAATGCCTAGAACACTGCAGTTTGTTCATACAAAATGCTAATGATTTTGTATGCCCTTATGATGAAGGGTGAAGTACAAACTGAACATGTTTAAAGCCCGTTTTCACATAATTATTGAAATGAAGTGTACAGTTAGTTAGATATGTTACAAAACCTGTTGGCATCAGCAGAATTGAAAGAAAACTTAGAACCTACAGCCATTAAGATAAAAATACAAGAACTGGATAACATAAGTATCAGATTGAGTGAACTCAGAGATTTTATTTTCTTAGTATTCACTGACCATTACAATAGAAAAGCCAGAGAGGGACTTCTCACAAAGGCATGTAGAGATAGGGCAAGGGGAAATTGCTTTAAATGAGAGTTGGTTTAAATGGGATATTAGGAAGAAATTCTTCACTGAGGATGTTGAGGCACTGAAGCAGGCTGCACACAGGAGCTGTGGATGCTCCATCCGTGGCAGTGCTCAAGTTCAGTCTGGATGGGAGTTTGAGCAACCTGTTCTAGTGGAAGGTGTCCCACCCATGACAGAGGGGTTGGAAGGAGGTGAACTTTAGGGTCCTTTCCAACACAAACCATTTTGTGATAATTATTCATAATTTTGTTCATTCACCATCCTATATAATGCTTGCATAAAAATCTACCAGTGGAACAGATGACTGTTTATAAATGAGAAATAAAATGCAAGAGAGCATACCCTCCAGTTAGAAGTTGAGTTGACTTAAATCTTTTCGGGCTTTTTTATACCTTGGAGGCAGGAATAATGAGTCCAAAACTGGAATGTAAAAAAGTTTCATTGAACAAATTTTACCATGGGATCAAACTTTAAAGTAATCCAAGCTTGACAAGCAGCCTGGACAGGTACTTTTGGTTAACTGCTGTGTTTCCCTCTTCCATCTTATGTCCTCTTCTTTCTTTTTTTTTTTTTTTTTTTTTTTTTTTTTTTTTTAATTTTTTGTCTCCCTTAGGTTCAGCGCACTATTGCCAAGCAAATTCAGATGGTGAGGCAAGTTGGAAAAGGACGATATGGTGAAGTGTGGATGGGCAAATGGAGGGGTGAAAAAGTGGCAGTCAAAGTGTTTTTCACCACAGAAGAAGCCAGCTGGTTCCGAGAAACCGAGATTTACCAGACTGTGCTCATGAGACATGAAAACATCCTCGGTGAGGCAGCAGAACTTTGCTGGGCTACTGGAGGGTGGGGTGAGGGAGGAGGAGGAGGAGCTCTTACTGGGGGGCTTGAGGAGTCTAAGGCAGCTTCTGTGGAATCACCAGATGGGTTATTCCCTTAATGTGTTAGTAAATGTCACTGAATAAAATGTTACTGAAAGGGTGGAATCTTGCTGCTCTTGGTTGGAAGCGTGTCTGCAGTCTGGAAGGCTGCACTGGTAACCTCATGTACAGTTAGAATCAGAGCTTCTACATGGGTAGTTTACCTAAGAGGAACATTTATCTTCTGCTACAGTACAGGAAAATACAGCTTTAGGAATTACCACTAAATCTACTGCACAAAATTTTATGTACTTTGTATTTTTAGTAACTTGGTTTATACATTTCATAGGTTTCATAGCAGCAGATATTAAAGGCACTGGCTCCTGGACACAGCTTTACTTGATCACGGATTATCATGAAAATGGATCATTATATGATTTTCTGAAGTGCACTACGCTGGACAACAGGGCTCTGCTCAAACTGGCCTATTCTGCTGCGTGTGGCCTGTGCCACCTGCACACAGAAATCTATGGGACACAAGGCAAGCCAGCAATAGCACACAGGGACCTGAAGAGTAAAAACATCTTGATAAAGAAAAACGGAACCTGCTGCATTGCAGACTTGGGTCTTGCAGTCAAGTTTAACAGGTAACAAATCCTCTGTCATGGGAAAACTTTCATGTCATTTTTTACCTAATGCACCAGATACCCAGCTTAAAAAGGCAGATGGAATCATTTGCTTGTGTGCTTTTGGGGTTTTTTTTCAGTTTTTTGAGTAAAATGTTGTTCTTGAATGCTGGTAGACATCATGATGAAAATAGGTTTTTAAGAAACAATGAAAATACTCTTCTTAGGAAAATAAAAGTTTTGTAGAGGAAATGGAGACTGATATTTTAATTCAAAACTAGCCTTTCATAGGAATTGCAAGCATGTAAATTCTTTCATAGAAAATTTGAACAGCATATAGGCAGTTGAAACTTAATTGAATATGTGATACTTTAATAGTATTATTAAATAATTTTATTAGTTTAAGTTCTATGGAGACAGAGAATTGTCTTTTTGGTGGTTGTGCCATACAGGATTTCATACCTTGTAACACTCCACAATTCAGTAACTTGCTAATGTTTTCATATAGTGACACAAATGAAGTTGACGTTCCCTTGAACACTAGAGTGGGAACGAAACGTTACATGGCTCCAGAAGTCCTGGATGAAAGCCTGAATAAAAACCATTTCCAGCCATACATCATGGCTGACATCTACAGTTTTGGGCTGATCATCTGGGAAATGGCTCGGCGCTGTGTCACAGGAGGTAAACTCTTAAATATCTGTATAGAACCTACCAGGCCCTTCCCTCACTCTAGCAGTGCTTCACCAGGAAATAATGTAATTAGCTTGCTGTGTCATCAGGCTTGTATTCTTTAAAAGCAGTAGTAATACTCTGACAGATATTTTTGTGACTCATCCTGGCTTTTCTTTTACTCTTCTTTTGTCTCCTTAATGCATCTTCACCTGTATTCTTCTTCTATCTTATATTTCTCTGTGCTTGTTTGTATCGTGTAGTAGATTAGAAAAAGCCAAATTTAGCATTTGGTATCAAAATCAGAGGCACTACAAGGAATTATCGTAGCTCTTAAAGTTAGTAATCATAATATTGGAGCTTTTATGGTGTATTATTGTGAAATTTTCAGATTTTTACCACGGTAAAAGAGTATGACGGGTTCAACTTGGCACAAAGTTAATTTTTTGTTCCTGGCTAAGGCAATCCGAGAGTAGATATACAGATTTATTTATTTTAATTGTTCCTAATCTTTCACAATTACCTGCAGGTATTGTTGAAGAGTATCAGTTGCCATATTATGACATGGTGCCAAATGATCCATCCTACGAGGACATGAGAGAAGTGGTGTGTGTCAAACGCCTGCGCCCAGTGGTGTCCAACAGGTGGAACAGCGATGAAGTGAGTGTGCTGAGAGGAAAAGCTGCTTCCCTTGGTTCATTAATATGGGATGGCATATATTCACAGTTTTAATTGGAGCTAAATCTTAAGTTAATCTTTAATTCATTTATTAGTCTTAATGGATATATCTTATTGGTTTGTGGCATAAGGTATTTAATGAAAGATGAAGCAGTTCCTTTGTGGATTTCCTCCTTCCTTTTTTCCTTTTTTACTGTTACATCCCAGGACAATCTGTGATGTAACTAAAATACTCTAATTTATATGTGTTTTTAAAGGGCCACCGCTTGAACATAGTAAATAAGACATAATTATTTCACATAGCAAGTTAAATATGCCATATCCATTCTTCCCCAAGTCCTTGACTTCTATGAATTCCCAGTTTTCTCTTTTTCTTTTTTTTGACTGTTGTAAGAAGTATTGTCACATCTTCATTTTCCCTGAAAGAATTCTCTATGGTTTTCCAGCCACATATGTGGAGATTTTTCTGTTTATTGCTGCCATATTTGTACCAATGTTGTAGAGTTGTACAGAGAAGTTCTGGTAATGCATCATTGAGGGACTAAATCAAAACTTCTGTTAGTTCCAGCTACTGTAATACTAGACAGTGAGGGGGTGGGATAGGAAGGATTGGCATGTGGATGTTGGGTTTGGGGTGTTTTGGGGTTTTTTTCCTTCAGTAGATCTCTTTATAATAGTTTCCTACTAACAATTTTGCAGAAAATTTGAAAGTTGTCCATTTTTGGACTTGAAAGTTCTATAATTCAATCTTAACAACAAACCAAAATTATAACTTCAGGTGTAGCAGTTGTTACAATAGTGTGCCTTTGTTTTTCCTTCTGCAGTGTTTAAGAGCAATATTGAAGTTGATGTCTGAGTGCTGGGCTCATAATCCTGCCTCAAGGCTCACTGCCTTGAGGATCAAGAAGACACTTGCCAAGATGGTGGAATCACAAGATGTAAAGATTTGACATAGGAAATTGACTTTGGAGAGCAAAGCTGGACTCCCTAGATCTTTTCACTCCGATGTGGGTGAGGAAGATAAAAATAGAGAAGAGGAAATAACTGAGATTCAGTATATTTTCTCAGCACACTTCTACAGGCTGCTAATGAAATCTTTCAGTACTTCATAGACCATGATACTGAGAGCCTCTATACACTACGTGCTACATACATGGACAGCCTTGAGAAAATACACGTTTTGTTTTGGTTTGAGCTGCATTGAGACTTCAATCATACTTAGTGAGTCTCCAGTAAAACTCTGGGTACTGAATTGAATGTTCAGATTACAGTGCTTTCTGTGAAAGCCTAACAAGCTATATGGATTCAACAGAGATGGAGAATATAAGCTCTTTTTTTTTTTTTGCCTTCTACCTGATAAAACCTAGTCAATCCATACCAAGTTTTGGTGAAACAGCCTGTAGGTTATGAATCTGTTTGTGATACTACTCAGTTTAACAGTTCTTTATGCCTTTATGTGTGTGCCAGGATTATTTTGCTGTCATTTGGAATATATAAGAAACCATTTAAATGAACAAAGTTTTATGGTCAGGGCTCTGTGCATTTTGTGGTTCCACAATCAGAGATTTGCTACAGAATCTTTTGCCATTAAGTTATCTTCAGAAATCTAATTTTTAATTTTTTTTCTGTTTTTTATTTGGTCACAAGGAGAACTACAAAAATCTGAATTGTTAATAAATTAAGGAATGCCTAACTAAATCTGTAAAGAACTTGAAACAATATCTTCTAGAGATGTAGGCTGCCTTGGTTATCTCACTTGCAGTCTAGAGAGAGCTCCATAATTGGATCCCTGAAATTTGTCATATTTTTTCACAGTGCCACATGCAACCAGCATTTTTGCCATAGAGTACTTTACATCTTGGCAGAGAGACTGATGATGATGTGTTTTGCCTTCCTGCTGTATTGGGGCTCATTGATAGGTGTCTGTCATGCTCTGAACTTCCTACAAAGACAGGGATTTGTCAGCTCTAGCAATGTGCTCTTTCATCATTTGACAAAACTAGGCAGAAGGTGAGTTTCGAAAGGCTTGAGAACAAATCTGGTTTACAGACACAAAAGAGGGAAGGCAGGAAGCTTTGGGTGCTCTCAAGATTAGAGAATGCAGTAAGGTCAAGACCAGGAGAAGTGAGTACCTGAACTGTTGAAGATAAGATCCACAGCATGCAGAAGATTTGGAGCTGGGTTGCTCTGATGTAGACACAGGAGGCCACATGTGTGGGCCACTTAGTGGAAGTGAAGATTTGAGACAAGGTAAACACTCAGTGGGTGTTGTAGGTTCTAGTTAATTTGGGGAGGAATGGCATTGAAATTAATTCATGAAGATACAGTAAGTTAGCACAATTGCAAAACTTGGTTTTATTGTGCCAACTGTTTGACCTGCACAAGAAACTGAAGTTCCCCCATTTTCATCACTGACCACACAAGCTGATTAGAAACCAGAACCCTCCATGAGATTATACTGTAAAGTAGAATTATTGATTTATAACTCCTTTGGCACTTCTACTTGGAAGTTAGAAAACAGTACCATAACTCAAGTTGAAGCTTCAAAGCATGAATCGTCTGAAGATTGAGCACACAGTATTGGAACCATTGAATCTATTTGATAATTTAAGTGCCTATAACTTTGTACTGTAAATCTTGTTCTAGATAACTTTAAAAAGGGAAGTTATTTATACAGTGTGTTTTGTGCTTTAGTGAAAATAAAAACAAAACAAGAAATACCTAGTCCTAGGTACATTTGTACAATTAGGTACATGCACACACACACACGCCATAGTTGAGATTTGAAGAAAAAAGTTAATAATACCAAAAGTGATGAAAAATGTTAAAACTTCAGATTGATTTATGCCAGATTATTTGTTGTCTTAAAATATTTACATAGAGATTGTTTTTATGTGTTTAAATTTCCCTTGAAAATACATCTGATAGAAAGCAATGTAACACAGAAGTAGTGTGATTTGTGAACAATTACAGCCTTCTAGCATGTTACCTTTTTGTTTTAATTCTGCAGTTCCCATAATGTAAATGGTCAGGCAAAAGATTGCAGTATTTTTATTTTCTATTGTGATGTACAGACTTTATTTAACAGTTCTACATATTTTATAGAAAACTAGCTATCTCGAGGGACTCTTTTTTTTTTTTTTTTGTAAATAAAGTCATTACTGTTGTTTAGTAATGCCTTTAAGTATTAATATGTATTCTGGCTGAGAAGTTCATAGGTGTGTCAACTTTAACTTATTTGAAAACAACAAGAGATATATAATACTGTGCCACAATCCTCATGATAAAGGGCTTTTAAAAAAGTTTCTCCGTCCATTGCCAAGAAATATATGATGATTTTGAAATTGTTAATCATGTCTTCGCGCATAATTTTTGCACAGGTAGTTGGAAAATTTTTGGTATAAGCCAAAAAAAGTAAGGGATAAGCTTTTTTTTTTTTCCTTCTCTAGAATTTTTATCAGTAAGAAGGAAAAAATGTTTAGGTACCCTGCTAGCTTAAACTTTCAAAGCATGGAGATCTGTCTAAATTAACCCCATCCTATGCAGAATATTGTGTCATTTCTTTTAGAATTTGCTACATTATCACTAGCTGTAAACATGAAATTTTTTTAGTTAATTTTTCCCAAGTCTTCAGGAACCCCCTTCTGGAAGGATGCATTTCAGTAATTTGCAAATTTTCACTTACTTTCTTTTCCATTGTTTAGGTATTTGCAAAGTGGCAATAGATTGGTTAGACACCTTAGGACCTAAATTGATTTACATGTTTACTTTAACGTAGAGGGAGCTGACTGCTGCAAAGATGATTTTTTGAGAGGGAAAAGATATCTTCTTTGCCTTAAACCTAATTTATCAGCACTTCATTTACTCTGTTCCTATTCAAATGTATCATGCATGTGTAGTTTTTGCTGTGCTGAACAGGAGCTTCCTTGATTCTTGATTCCTTGATAACAAAATATTAACACTAAAGGGTGTCTGTACTGATACTTAACGATTTGGGGGAAAAAATGCACTCAAAGCCAGCCTATTAATTTTTACATAACTCAACATAATTAATGCAGACTCCAGAGGTAAGTTGTTGCTTTATGCAATCCTGTAGAGTTCAGAAGCCTTGAAGGTCAGAGAGGATAATAGGATTCTTCTATTGGACTGTGATTAATCTCATTTTGGTGGTCAAAATTTTCAGCGTTTGTCATCCAAAAAGTATCCTCCAAAACGGGCAAATGTGTTTTCTTTCTTTCTTTCTTTTTTTTTTAAATACAAATATCAACTGTATGGAAAATATATTGGGGAGTATCAAGATTGTGCCTTGGAAATTCTTAAATACTCATATGGAGGGATTTTTTTTTTGTTTATTTAACGTGTTCCATGTGATTTTTAGTTGGAAATAATTTGAGTAACTTAATTCTTATTGTTACAACAACAAAAAGGAAAGGTTTTGTGTTCCTGGTTAACTTGTAAATTCCACCAGAAATGTGATGTTCCTACAGAGAAAATTAAGCTTACATTCTGGGTTTATTCTGAGATTTATTTAATATAATTTTTGCTCAAGAAATAGTTTTCCCAATATACATCACTTATTCCCAATTATTTTCTTAATTTGCCTTTTTTGAGGTTTCGAATGAAATGTAAAATTAAAATATTAAGTTACCTCCATAGTCTAGAATCAAATTTTAGATCTTGATGTAAATGACCATTTGAATGTGTTTATAAAACAAATCATTTGGATACATTTCATCTACTCTGTCTTAACTGACTGTATTTTAATGGTCTAAAAGTGTTTGAAGAGCAGAGAGATAAAGTTAAAAAAACTTTCTTTTGCTATTGCAGATATTTTTAAAGGGAAGTTACATGCTTGTTGTCTGTGAAATATTAGAATGATTATTTAGCCTTTCCTCACTCTCCTGACAGCGCCTCTGAGTTCAGTCTTTATCCTGTGCCCACAATCTTTATTCCAGGCAGGGGTGATGTGTAAAAGCAGCTGGCAGTGTTGCACAGTGCAGTGCTTTATGGAACCATGGTGCTCAGCCTTGATTGTACAGCAGAAGTAGAGGGCACATTACTTCTGGTTTTTCGACAAATCTAATGTAATTGTTGCTTTGTGATATTTTACTGTTTAATGCAATTATAGAAGCCCACATCATGTAGTGACATTTGTGCTCTGACATGACATGCCCAACATGAAATGTACTATATTGTATACAAGAAGAATAAATAACATTGTAGTTAACCTAGAGAAGATGTAAATAAACTATGAAAGAAGAGTGGAACAAGACAAATGGTCACACTCTAGTGTGTATTATATGCCAGAAGTGTGGAATACTACTTTAAAAATGTAACACACTAATGTATTTTGTACAGCATCTGCTTTAGAAGGTGCCTTATTGAGTTTACCATGAATTGCTTGTTCTGTACACAGATTATGTCCAATGTATCATTTTTAAGTAAATAACCTTATTTTAGTACACATTAGTAATGTGTTTTGTTACTATAAGATTTTGCCTTAAAAATGTAATGACTTGGAAATCATAATACTGTAACTAAATAAGTCCCTACCTTTTCATACCTCGTTTATGGTTTTTTTCCCCCACAGTCTCTGAATAAGCTGTTAATTACTGCTTTTATTGTTCAAAGATATTGAAAATTATTTGGTGCTCTCTTAAGTTCAAGCTCTTTATTCCTTGCACAAAATTTACATTCGGGTGCAACAGTAAAAAATGGTGTTTCCTTCTCCTGATTTTTATCCCTGTGTTACTGCAAGGCCAAAAGCAAGTCAAAATCAAATAATACTTTCATTTGAACATATGCAAGTTCACTACATGTTGGTTTTATCCATATGAATTTGCCTCAAGCTTATCAGGTAACAAGAGAAAAAATAAAGGGATGGGGAATTTTGTAATTGCTTTTTGTTCCCTCCGTGTACAACATTCTTTTTGTGTAATAGTATCCAAATTAAGAGATTTGAGTTTAATATGTGTATGTACTGCTTGTTGCAAAAATATGCAGGTGCTTCTGTATATCCTGCTAAATTTCCTCTGGTTTTTATGATTCAAGCAAATGAAGACCAGTCAAGGGGATATCTCACCTGTGAGTACTATAAAGTGTCAGAATTTGTTTTCTCATTGCAGAAATGTATTGGCTTCTAGTCCCCATAGACTTCACCTTTAGTTTACAAGGAGAAAGGAGTAAGATCAGTTTCTTTTCTCTTTTTGCATTTAATCAGGAATAATCTTAGATTTAAATACGTTTTTTTTACAGTAGCTAGAAAGGTTTGATATCTGAACATGGCAAAAACTGCTACCAATGTATTATAATTATAAACCTTGCTTTGTTTTCCCTACAAAATCAAGTGTTAAATTCTTGCAGTATAGTTCTGGAAAGTGCAGTGGAAAGATCAGTGACGTGGTTTCCAACCTTTCTTTCCTTACACATAATACCAGGAAATTAGACTGCACAAAGATTCGGGCTCCTTAAATTAGTATCTTGGCAAAGTAAACCTTTTTCCTATGGTTGTGGCTATT